TCTGTCTTCACTTGAGCTACTGTACTTATAGTATGAGGTGACGTCACAGTTCTACTGTAGCCACTCCCCTCATTTACATATCTACACGTAACATTGTTTTCTCTTCGTTATCTGGTAGCTTATTTCTCGACAATACTTTGTTAACCTTTTACAGCATTTCTTTAACAATTATCGGGATGTTTTGTTAAGGTTACACAAGTTCCTAGAAAGTCTATTGGGGTGTCCCCCCCTTCAGTGCGGACTTACAATTCTGCCGCTCGGGCGTGCACGTGAGTGCAATGCTAGCTATGGCGCTATCGTTTCGTCGTCGGTGAGTTGGTTAATCTTTTATCTTCTCGTTTTGAACGTTAGGGTGGTGGGTGAGGAAACCTTTGTCCTAACCAAACATAAGCCCCAAACAAAAATATAATAAAGCAAAGTAAAAGTAAACTAAAAATAAAGCACGGACTTGGTTCCTTACAGTAGTCTCTCAAGAAGAGAAGATTATCTTGCCATACATATAGAAGTCATATATATTTTGATAGTGTGTGCACAAATGTTACAATTCCAAACTTCTCCCATATCCCAAACGGAAAGATAATCAAAGAAAAGAATAAGCTTCATATTTTGAGGTAGTATAATCCATTAGATTTATGTAAACTCTCTCTCACGCGTATAGGTTGATTTAGATTTAAGTTAGATAGTTGATTTTTCTCCCTGCAAGATAGATTCAGAATATATCATTTGTAATCCAATTAATTGTATTATTCTTTTGTTTGATTCAATTAAATATTTTGTTTTGTTGTTCTAAATATGGTCTCTTTAATTAATTAATGACTGTAATCCACACCTTCGTTCACTCCACTTACCTGTGTCCCTCCCACTTGCTCAGCTGTTAATTCTCCTATGATTTATTTGGATGTTGTCACTCGAACGTCACAGATATTTATAATTAGAAGTAAATGCGAGTTAGTGCGCGTATTATAAGTTTCCTTAACTGGTGTCGGGAAATCCTGACGGAGGAGACTGTGATTTTACGATCATTTAGTCTCCGCATCTTTTATCACTCATAGAAAAGCCATCCTTTTAGACAACCATGGGCTAATCTCATGGTTAGCTGCTGATTAAGAGGTACACAAATTCTATCAACTTCGTACCCCCAGCTAGCTCCTCACAGTATTGTCTGAATGTTCTATAAGATACTATTAGAATGTATTTATATACGTGATAATTCTAAATGATGATCCGAATTTCAGTAACTGATTATTCTAGTTTAATCAAATACAGATAAACACAATTTACATACACAAAAAAGAAAAGTGAACAATTTTTCTTTACTTACTATAAATGTTCAGTGTTTGATCCACACATTAACAACACACATATCAAGCCTATAATCAAGTCCTGCCATACCCTGCCTAGCATGTTGGCATCAATTCCTGCAATGGCTGCAGTGATGTACATGCTCAGCACTGTGTCATAGAGTGAACAAATGATCCTTGATGAAGTCCCATAAAAAGAAATTATGGAGTGATGTCTGGGGATCAAGGTGGCCAATGCAACAATTCTCCCACAGCTGCATGGCTAATGTTGCATAGTTTGCAGCTGCTTCTTGCCCACCTAGCTAATGTAGCAAAAATGGCTCATAGTCTCATGGTAAAAAAGGCGGGGCTTGGGAGCGCGACTGAGTGTACTCTAGCTCCCGCATCCTGTAGTTTTCGGCAGCTCTAAGTCTGACATCTTCAGAGCTTGCAGCTACTGCAGTCCATATGGTTTCATTATCAGACATTTTCACGGCACTCATCATACAACATACATATTCTGTGTGCAGAATAACTAGTTCTCAGCCTGCTCGGTAGTTAGACTTTTGAGGACTTTTTGTGAAAGTTGCACAGACACATTCCACTGTTTCTTCCTCTACTAATAGACAGACCATCAATTTTTACTTGCAAATGCAACCAGTCTCTTTAAATTGGAAATACCACTTTCAAATAGACTTACCACAGAGTGGGGTCAATTCCAAATTTTGTATGAACAGCCATGATATATGAATTTGAATGAAAATAAAGATCACAGAATGCTTTATGCTGTTCTCTAGTCACCATTTTTCTCAGTTTGACTAAGCTCCTGACAGAAGCCAGTGCAACAAGAACAAGAAAAATAATCTTTGAGAGATAATCTTCCAAAGTACATTTCTATCAACAAGATAGATTCATTACACTTCATATAACACTTAATTGAAATCAGGAACATCATTTAGAATTACCCTGTATATTAATATTAAACACATACCAATTAATAATTTACCAATATATTAGATGATGATTAAAAAGTTTTAATGATGTGATACTAAAATGTTTGGTTTCAATATGTTATTAATGCATTATATTTAACAGTAATCTTGTAAAAGATGGAAATGTTTTTAATTCAAAAACTTTTGCTGTAAAGAATCTTCATTCTAGTAAATTATTCAAATTTATTTTTATGTTACTTGTAAGTTTTGAAAAAGGTCATATTGACTGAAAACATTTCTTTCACTTGTAATTATATATTTTAACTAGCAGACCCCGCCACGCCTTGTTGTGGCTCAAAATGTATCTATTATAAATGTATAACACTTCCCCCGTGGGGGAAAATTTTTTGAAAAATTTTTTCTTAGTGTACATTCTCTTGACATACCCTATTAAAACGCAATCAAAAGCGCAAAAACCCGCATCTAAAATAGTATAATAGAAGCCAAGTTCTTCACAGTAAGCCTTAATCCTGTCCCTCTCCCCCCGGGGGAATATCGAAAAATCCCTTCTTTGTGTACATTCTGTTGATGTACTCTATTAAAATGCAATCAAAAACGCAAAAAATCGCATCTAAAATAGTATAATAGAAGTGAAGTTCTTCACAGTAAGCCTTAATCCTGTCCCTCTCCCCCCCGGGGGGAATATCGAAAAATCCCTTCTTAGTGTACATTCTGTTGACGTACTCTATTAAAATGCAATCAAAAATGCAAAAAACCGCATCTAAAATAGTATAAATAGAAGCAGAGTTCTTTACGGTAAAGCCTTCCCCGTAAAGCTTACCGTAAAGAACTGTCCATCCCCCATGTTTAACGGAATAATATACAGCCTATGTCCACCCTGAAGTTCCATTCTAAATATTGGTGAAAAAATTTTTGAAATCGGATGAGTAGTTTTGGAGATTACCTGCTGCATCCAAACTTACTTACATACAAACATTACCTCTTTATAATATTAGTATAGATGAAAAAAATATTTTATATTTGATAATTATGATTTAATGAGCTTATATATTTATTTCAGTTAACTGTATTCTTGACAAATACATTAGAAGAAATGTGCCAGGATATTATTAATTCTGGCTGTATGCAAGTAGCTATTCACTCACTTGAAAAAGAAATAGAAAATCTTCAAGAGAAGCATAAAAAAGAAATATTAGATATCAAGCAGAATGCAGGTAATTAATTGAAAATAGCTTTAATTTTTTAAATTAGTTTTTATTGAATAAAATAAAAATATGATTATTCTTATGTTCTATTTATCTGAGAGTATAACTTTTTTTGAGATTTACAGTAGAATATCTCTTTATAGTCATTTATGTAAAAATACCTGTAATAAAATATTTGGTTACTAGAAAACACTTAAAATTATCCATATTAGAATTTTTAATTTGTAGTTACAAAATAAATAAATTTCTAAAATTTTTCTGTAAAAACAAAAGTGATTCACGATTGTAACATTAATAAACGCCATAAAATTATTTAAAAAACAAACTTTGAAGAATTTTTTTACATAAATTGCTTGCATTTGATGTACTGTATATTAAAATACATCTTTATGTTTCCCAAACTGTGTTCTGGGTGATGTGAACAATAATTCTGAGAAAAATCATCTACTTATATAAGCCATTGATGCCACTGTTTGTATATCTGTTATCTGTAATCTGTCATGGAATGCCTAGAACGCACACTAGGAGGCGTTCCTAGCAATGATTTTCAGCTATTATTTAAATTAATAGTATAGGTTACCCCTGTATAACACAGGAGTTATGTTCCAAAAAATTGCCGTGTTATGTGAAACAAAGAACTAGTGCGAAAAGGGGGGGTTAGGTTCCAAAAATTAAAAAACGTGCTGTTAAATCCTTATTTAAATCGGATTTATTATTCATTTTTTTCATAGGTAAAATATTTATTATTTAAGTAAATATTTTACCAGAGGATTATTTATCCTATATGATGATCTCAGCATGAACATCATCAACTGGTAACAGTTTTTGTGTGCGTTCGTTAATAGCAGTCGCTCTGCAATGGGAGTGCACTGCTGTTTGTAGGCATTTAGGAACAACAGTGAAAGAAAGATGGTGGTGCCTGCCCTATCGATAGTATCGTGATGGAGGAATCTATAATTTTAAAATGAGCTTTTAGAGACAAAAGAAGGGTCCCAATTGTAAAATTTAACCATTAAATGGATTATTTGTTCAAAGAGCATTCAAAGTAGCCACAAAAACAATTAGAATGCTCGCGCAGAGTTACACGGAGGTATAAAAGAACGCATCCTTTATTACATTTCATGTTGTACGAGGGTTTACCCAACTCCCGAACCATGTTAGAGTGAACCCATGCTATAAAAGCACCGTGTTATACGGGAAAGTTCCCAATTCTCGAACTGTGTTAGAGTGAATTCGTGCTATAGAAGTGCCGTGCTATACGGGGGTTACTCGTATAATTTATTTATTAACAGTATATATTATTATTTTTATTTGTAACAGGAATTTATTATTTATACCACAGAATGACATTGCTGCTGCTAGAATGTCCACTAGGGGGCATCCCGGGCTATCTCGTAATTAATAATTAAAAAATAAAAAATAAATTTTACATATTTGTAGCTTATATCACTTTTATATGACTGTAATTCATTATTATTTTTATTTTTTGATTTTGGTTACTAATAAACTGACAGACTAATAATTAAGTAGATTGCAGAACACTGTATGGTTAATCTTTACCTACATGCACTGTCATAGCTGCATTTCCAGAATCTCGACAGCAAGCATCTTTTGAATTTTAATGTAAATAAGCCAGGTGCTGTTAGCCAAAATATCATGTAAATAAGATTTATTTAATTATAAATTATATAAATTTACATTTTAAAAATTATATTACTAATCTATATATATAAAAATGAATGTATGTCTGTCTGTCCTTCATGCATTACTACACCATTTATCCAATTACCATGAAACTTTGGGAAGTTGTTTAATACACTCCCGCAAAGTGTTCTGGCATAGTACATTTATCCTACGATAGATGGCGTGCATTTATACAAGCATTTCAACATGGTTAGGAGTTGAAACTTGAAATTTGGTACAACATCACGAAAATGTACACTAACAAGGGTTTTTTTAACCCCCACCCCCCACATAGGAAAGGGACAGGATTAAGGCTTCAACAATGGAAGTGTAAGAGAAAGCAACATGCAAGATTTACAGGTGCAGATGTGGTGTTTTGCGTTAAATCAAACATAATTTTAGACCAATCTAAAAATTTTCTAATTAGTCTGGAAACAGGGGAACCTAATTCTTGCATTCTGTGAAAACGGGTAAGATTGGCTGTAATATAATAATCTTAATCTTTGCTATCATTACTTTTTGCCCAAGCATTGCCGGGCTTATCTGCTAGTTTATTTAATAAATTGATCATTAGGGAAGGATGGGTTTAGGTTAGGTTAGGAGTTTGCTGCAGGCCTCGACTAATCAATGGTTCGAACAGGATCTCTCAGGTTGGTAAGTGGACTGTTGAGGCCTTCAGCTTCTCTTTTTTTCCTTAGTCATGGGTACAAGCTCTGAGCATGTACACTGCCTCTGAGCAGCCTTTTTTGCCTGCGGCAAACTCATAACCTAACCTAAACCTATCCTTCCCTAATGATTAATTTATTAAATAAAGTAGTAATATAATTTTTAAAATGTAAATTTATATAATTTATAATTAAATAAATCTTATTTACATGATATTTTGGCTAACAGCACCGCCTACATTGAAATTCAAAAGATGCTTGTTGTTGAGATTCTGGAAGTACAGCCATGACAGTGAATGTAGGTAAAGATTAACCCACTTTATTTTGTAGGATATTGCATAGAGAAGTATTGAAAGAAGTAAATAATTTGTAAGAAATAGTAGATTGATTGCATTACCAAAAGTTTAAACATTATCACTTCCTAGTTAACCATGTTTGATATAAACTAGCTCAGGTAACTAACTGTATTATATTATGGTTGCTAAATTAGTTTAACAACTTAAACTCATTTGTAACCTAGTGTAAATGTATTACAGTCTAGACCATGGTCCTAGTGATTTTCATCTTTTCAGATTTATAAAAGACTTTCTAGATGGACAGCAATTGTCCAATAATGATGCTGTTCATGAATGTGTTTGATTCTAGTTTGGACATGCTGATTTGATAATATTCTTGGTATCCAGGCATTGATCAAATGCTTGGATAAGTGTATCTTTGTATCTGGCAATTATGTAGAGAAATACTTGTAGGTTTTTCCTTTCTTATGATATTTACCTGTTTGATACAGTTAAAAGTTTTGGTTTGACTTGAATGACCCATGCACAAATGAAATTAGGGTAAAAACTAATATATACATAAATATATAGATTTCAATAAAATTTTAAATCAGAATGCTTTTAAAGCATCTCAATAAAGCAATTAAATCTTCATAGTGAGCAAGAAACAGCATATTCAGATTTATTAGAGACTTGTATTCAATTAGTAATCTCAAATGATCAACAGTTAAACTACCTATTTACTCATACAGTATTTAAGTAAATTAAAATATGACATTTTTAAACTAGATCAGTTGAATTCGTTTTAAACATTGGTTTTCTTTATTGCAATTTTACAATATTTTATAATATAAGAGGGCTATTTTTTAACCTGTCCTGCATTGTTCCCCGAAAATTTTTGTGTTGACCTCATTGACCTGCGTGGGCGATCCCGAATATTTTCGTGTCTGCATCGGAATGTTTTTAATACTAGATGTCACTATGCGTGACAATTTTTACATTAAAACAAACTTGTAAAATATAATTTTTTTTGTTTTTATATTTTTCAATATATTTATTTTCTTTGTGCAACATAAAAATATAATTTTTAATAACACAGTAAACACAGTTATTATTTTAAAAAAAATTTGTTAGGCTTAACATCGATGAAAATTCAACATGGTGTTACAGGCAACAGAGAAAATTTTCAGCATTGAATAGGTTAAGGTCAGTTTTTTAATAATAAGAAAAATACTGTAAATATCATTAAAATATATTTTTTTCCATATTATACATACTTTTATCTACTTTTCTACATAATTTCCATTTTTGTTCAAACATTTGTCATACCGCTCAAAAATTTTTAAAATTCTGACGTCAAAGAAATCTGTCACCTGACGCCGGAAGACATTAAGCCACACCACTTGTCTTTTATGGCACAGTGGAGTTTTCTGAAGGTCACAATAAGCATCAGAATTGATTGTTGTCCCTCTTGGCATAAAATCCACTAACAAAGACCCTTTCATAATCTTTCATGCTGAAATCAAATAACAGATCATATCTTACAGTTGGCGGGAGGCTCAATTTTCTTAAACATTATAAACTTCTACAGTTCAGCACACGGACAGATGATAAGGCTGCAAATGGCAGCTAAACATGCGCAAAGCATGCTGAAAGCAGATGCTCATACACACCTGCAATCGTGCATCATTCTCACTCTCATTCACAAATGGACCTTATTTAAAAAATAGCCCTTGTATATTAATAATTCATAATTGAAAAGTTCAGTATCACAATAATTTAATAATAATTCATTTTAGTTAAGTAATATGACATTTCTGATTTTTGTTTTTTAAATTACAATTATATTTGTAGAGAATGCAAATACCATATCTTAAATAATTTTGCAGATTTAATTGTTAAAGAAATGAGATCAACAATTGAAACTGAAAAACAGAATGCTATTACTGAAGTAAGACGACAGTGTGAGATTGAAATGAGAAAAAGTATTGAAGAAACGAAGAAGAAGCAATGGGTAATATATTTAAATACAATAAAAATATGTAATTTACATTATAATAATCATTTTAATGTTTTGTATTAAAGATTGAAACTGTTTAGTTTTTGCATATATATTATACAATTAAGAATAATTGCTGTTACCTGTTTGTTATGAATTTTTCATCTAATTTATTACTGATATGAAAAAATTTATAATTTAATAGTTATAGCTAATTAATAAAACATTGTAAACATATTGTTTTTACCTAACATGCTATTAAACTAAAATTTATAGTTTTTGTGATTATAATTTACAAAGTCAAGCAAGAACATAGAATAGAATTTTCATTTTTTTCACAGAACATATGTTTTTATTTCAAAATTGAATAATGTTTGTTTTTCTTTAAATAACTGAAGAAAGAACAGCGTACTGTTTATTTTTCACTAGATAATGTTGTTTATATAATGAAAAATTTAATTTTTAAAGTCATAATCTTATCTGAATGGTTACAATATTTGCTATTTTATTAAGTTAATTAAAATATGAATTATATTAAAACACCTAAAAAGTAATAAGATAGACTTAAAAACTTTTTTAATAAACATTGAAGAGAAGTAAATTAATTTTTATTTGATTATTCTTTAGTGTCTTCTTTCTTCTTTTTTTAAAATGGTTTATCTCATATAAACAGTTGGTAAAGAAGTTTGGATCTTAACAACCAACTACTTTTTTTATATGTTTTATGAATTATATATTGGATAATCATCAGAAATTAAAAATTTAAGTAATTGTTTTATAAAATATATGTTTTTGTGTAGAAAATAAACACAATTTATTATTCTGCATACTTTTGGATCTTATAGGAAGATACAAATAAGAATATATATAATCTAAATATTGTAAACATCTAGTGTATGAAAATTATTGTCTATATATAAAGAAGAGTCTTTTTAAAAATATGAATGTATTTTTGGAACAGTTGAACTAGAAATATTATTTTTTGTAAATAAAGTATCAAAAATAAACAGAAAGTATCAAAATTACAAAAATTTTAAAGAAGCTTTTAGAATTAATTATGCACAAATGTATTTGAATGATTGACAGATTAAATTTTACAGCGTTTCATATTGTATCAGCTGAATAACAATATTTAGTTATAAAAGTTAATTAATTATAAAAGTTTGTTATGATTTTAAAATAAATGTAATTTATTACATTTATTTTAAAATCATAATCAAATTCTTGTTGAATATGGTATCCATCATCTACTGTAAAATATTTAGTGATTTCTTTTTAGTATTTTATAAACTTAAAATAATTTTAGAGAACTAAAGTAATATACTGTATTTATTTTAAGAAACAGTGCCATCTAATAAACACAGCAGCTGCAAGATGAAAATGTTGTAGACAGTACACTGTCTATTGGAGAAAGACAAGGTTTATTGTAAATTGAAAAATTGCAAATTCTATTCAGGCACTTTTCTAAAAATAAAAAGTGATACATTCTATTATCACTTTTACTATAAGTTGAAATAAAGTGTGAGTGTGTTGAGTGTGTGCATTATTTGAATAATAATAAAGTGAAAAAAATTTCCAAATTTATTCCATTAATAGTTATTTTCAAATAGTCATACTTAATTCCTAAAGAAAGGAAATATAGTCACCTAATAAACAGTGAAGTTGAAAGCTGAAAAAGTTATATAGACAGTGCACTGTTTATTAGAATAAATATGGCATATGTATAGGTGTATGTGGTGTGATTGTAATATTGATTTATATACATATTAAAATTTAGTGTGCAAACTGTGGTAAAGAAGCTGTTTTCTATTGCTGTTGGAATACAAGTTATTGTGATTATCCTTGTCAGCAAGCTCACTGGCCACAACATATGTCTACATGTGGCCAAAATCATGTCACAACTGTAAAAGAACAATTAGTAACTAATATGCCAAATTTAGGCCCAGAAATGACAATAACACAATCACCAGCAATTCATGGTAATCTTCCTGTTAGAATTCAATTCTCAGGATTGCACAATCAAACACAAATTACACAGCAAGCAAATAAACAAAAGGTAAGACTAATATTTTATTTCAAGTAAATAAAAATTATATAAAAGGATTATCATCTATTATTTTTTACCTAATATAAATTAAATCAAATTTTTACTTGTAAACTAAGTTACATTTTGTTGGTTTCATGCTGAAAGCAGATGCTCATACACACCTGCAATCGTGCATCATTCTCACTCTCATTCACAAATGGACCTTATTTAAAAAATAGCCCTTGTATATTAATAATTCATAATTGAAAAGTTCAGTATCACAATAATTTAATAATAATTCATTTTAGTTAAGTAATATGACATTTCTGATTTTTGTTTTTTAAATTACAATTATATTTGTAGAGAATGCAAATACCATATCTTAAATAATTTTGCAGATTTAATTGTTAAAGAAATGAGATCAACAATTGAAACTGAAAAACAGAATGCTATTACTGAAGTAAGACGACAGTGTGAGATTGAAATGAGAAAAAGTATTGAAGAAACGAAGAAGAAGCAATGGGTAATATATTTAAATACAATAAAAATATGTAATTTACATTATAATAATCATTTTAATGTTTTGTATTAAAGATTGAAACTGTTTAGTTTTTGCATATATATTATACAATTAAGAATAATTGCTGTTACCTGTTTGTTATGAATTTTTCATCTAATTTATTACTGATATGAAAAAATTTATAATTTAATAGTTATAGCTAATTAATAAAACATTGTAAACATATTGTTTTTACCTAACATGCTATTAAACTAAAATTTATAGTTTTTGTGATTATAATTTACAAAGTCAAGCAAGAACATAGAATAGAATTTTCATTTTTTTCACAGAACATATGTTTTTATTTCAAAATTGAATAATGTTTGTTTTTCTTTAAATAACTGAAGAAAGAACAGCGTACTGTTTATTTTTCACTAGATAATGTTGTTTATATAATGAAAAATTTAATTTTTAAAGTCATAATCTTATCTGAATGGTTACAATATTTGCTATTTTATTAAGTTAATTAAAATATGAATTATATTAAAACACCTAAAAAGTAATAAGATAGACTTAAAAACTTTTTTAATAAACATTGAAGAGAAGTAAATTAATTTTTATTTGATTATTCTTTAGTGTCTTCTTTCTTCTTTTTTTAAAATGGTTTATCTCATATAAACAGTTGGTAAAGAAGTTTGGATCTTAACAACCAACTACTTTTTTTATATGTTTTATGAATTATATATTGGATAATCATCAGAAATTAAAAATTTAAGTAATTGTTTTATAAAATATATGTTTTTNATAAAAAATTTTTAAATTACTATATTAACAATTTGTTTATTGGAAGCTTTTGTGTCAACAAAGCAGAGAGAACACAACACACATATGCGAGGTAACATCTGTCACAGCAGACTTTTCTTTCGTGTGGTCAGAACAATGAGAGACTGCACTCAGTACTAATTGTTCTCATTTTTGAGGAGATGGAGTGACTTTAGAAATGTCACCTGGCCAATATTGGGTTGGCTTGACTGGCAATTTCAAATTGAGGCCGGCAGTCAGTGAAAATATTTAAGTGTCAGCAAAACAGTTTACTAATAAACAAATTATATCTTAATTGAAAAAATAATATATAAAATTATTTTTACTATTTAGTATGTTTACTTATAATGTTCAATGCTTGGACAACATTTTAAATACTTTTTTAGCAACACTAATTTCTTTAAAAGAATGTTTTCAACCTCTTTTTTTTTTTATAGGTCTGCATCAGGTTTAACAAGATTTGAACTGTTTAAGAAGACAATTTAAATTTTATTAAACCTAATGCAGACCTATAAAAAAAAGATGTTAAAAACTTTCATTTAAAGAAATTAAAGTGTTGCTGAAAGAAATATTTGTGCTGTTCAAGCTTATATAGAAGTGTTTTTGTCATGATTCACAGATGATACTGTGAATCGTAACAAATGTGATTTGTGTGATTTTAAGTAAAAATAATTATTTGTGTTAAATTTACTACAGTTGTCCCTTGATAATCCGACAGGTATGGGACCAAAGGTGTGTCAGATTACCAAAAGTGTCCGGATTACCGAAAATAATTACATATTTCGCATTGTTTTGCTAGCAGTAACTTACAATATTCTCTACTCCAACTGTTCGAACAGAACTGCTCACATAAAACACACGAAATGTGTGTCATCGAGTAAGAATTGGATGGGGAGATTCACATCGCAACATGCTTCTGTGCAAGCAGACACGTAATGGGGACGGGTATCTTGACGGGAGGTGTGTCGGACTACTGAGCATGTCGGATTAAAAAACGTTGGACTATAGAGGGACAACTGTACTGTTTAGATTTTTAAAAATTTATTTTTAAGATGAATCAGTCTAGGCATTCATTTGATTCTTCTTTCTTGAATAAAGTTCACACATTGATTCAGTAAATGTATTTGGAGTATGTTCTTCTCTCAAAAAGCATCTGAAATAGTTTATATCATGTTCCAACACTTCTACCTTCTTAGTAAGGGTTACTAACCTGTTTTCTCTATCCATTTTTTCAAAATACTTGTTCTGAATTTTCCAATGGTTTAGCTGTTTGTAATGTTGATTCAGTAAATGTTTGACATTTACTGAATCAACATTACAAACAGCTAAACCATCGGAAAATTCAGAAAGTTCACACAGTTGTACATTTAGGAAAATCTGACTCAAGTGAATGAATTCAAAACTTTGTTAACTCATGATGATGATGATGATGATGATGATATTTGTTTGGCTCATTGCATCATTTGCCAAACCTCATTTAGTGTTAAATACAATTGAATTAAAGCTTTTACAAAGCATGTTGATTTCAAGAAGCATGAAAAAAGAAGTGCATCTTCTCATTTACCTTCCTCCTTCTCTGTCACCGTTTCGGCCAATGAAACAGTTTCCAAAGATGGCGACTCTAGATGACACGATGGAATAATTCTTTGAGTAAAAGGGAATTAATTAGTTGTAATTTCTTTGGGAGTAGTGTTGCATTATTAATCTTATCTGAAACAAGATTACAAATTTGTTTTGTAATACAGAATAAAAGCATGCGTATCCACATATAAATGGACAATTTTTGGGTTTCTTTCGAAAGATTAATTCTGGATTTCCCAATTGTTTTCCATTCTTAATTAAGCTTGATGTTTATTAATTAATGAATGTATTGTGCTCATAACGTAAATTATTTTTCTAAGCAAAAATAAACTTCAGAAACTATTCAAAGCCATCAGAATCAGGAGTTTACAGCAGAATCGGAATCTGGAGAAATTTTGATATTGTCCCATCACTAGTTGATTTTATAATTTGTGAATTTTATTTATTATTTGTTTCCAAATTTTTTAAAAAATATATTTTGTTAATAGCATATTGATTATTAAATTTTATTTGCTTTAAAGTCAGTGTTAACTGTAGTTTCTATTTCTTAAATGAAAGGTCATTTCTTAAGAACTTTCTAGTAGAAATTTTAAAAATGTTTAAAATATTTTTTGAATTATAAAAATTATGCAGAAAACTACTAGTTACTGTTTAATTCATCCGTAGCTTAATTTATAATAAAATTTATTTGAAAATTTAAAATTTTTGAAATTATGAATACTTTAGAATAAAAAGAAGTGTCAATTTCCTGTTGATCAGATGACATCAAGAAGAAAAAATGGAAACATAAATCTCTCACAATCACCAACAGCCAGCATACAACAAGCTGATGTCAGATTATCTCCCCATCCTTCTACACAAATTCTTGGTGCTAATTATACTCTACAGGTAAATGTTATTTTATTATATAGAGGACATATTATTTTATGAATAACTATTATTGGACTTTATTATTAATTCTTAAGAAAGGACTGCATTAAAACAAAAAATAATTACAATCTTTAAGTATGTAAACATTTTTGAAAATATATTTTCATTTATTTTTTCTATGTATGATAATAATGAAGAATATGTACATCTATATTTAACACTTAAAAATTAAAAATTTGTGACTTGTTTCTTTTTTAAGAATACTTTAAAAATTCATAATATACATAGTTATAATTTATATTTTATAAATCACAAATTAAAAATTAGTCTGTTTTAAAGTCAAACAGTTTTATCTTAATCCTATTCCAAATATTCAGAATATTCCAAAAATGGTTAAAAGTTTAGGAATAATATTTGATTTTTAAGAACAGGCTATTTGTTTACATTATTAATGTTTTATTAATTAAAAGTTTATACTTGCAAACTGAGTTAATTGATTTTCATAAAATTAAAAATTAGTTAAGTGTTTAATCCTTCAGTGGGCTTGCCTTTTAGAGTTTCATGAGAGGGCACATTGCAGCTGTTACATCACATATGAAATATTTGAGGATATGCAATATATACACTGCATATCCTCCAATATTTAATTTTTGTTGACAATATGAATAAAATAAAAGAGGAATTAATCTTAGAATTTTTTATTTAACAAATGCAGTTATAAAGCATCTAGCTAATAAATATAGGTTACTCCACCTTCATCTGTTGCTTGCCTTCTCACATGGCATATTTAGTGATTATATGACTATATTTCATGCAGAAATTTTTACCACATTCTTGATAGGTTGTTTTATTCTATTATTTTTAATCTTTTACAAGAAAGTCATTTTTCTCGTCAGCTGAGTTTTGGAGTCACTGTCATGATTATCTTATATGATTTCCTGCTCTTCTGACTCAGTTTGTGTCATAATTAGTCTATTTGGACTCTTCTCTTTTCTCTATCAATTTCTTCACAACTTGTTCTAAAACTTTATCAAACTTCTCCTGGGTCAAAGCTTTATGAGACCTATAACAATTATGAAAATTTAGGCATCTCAAAAGCTGTTTGGTATATTTTTAAATTACAGTAGAGCATCGATTATCCGAGCCCCGATTAACTGTTCCTCGGTTAACCGACCGCGTTCTAGTCAGCAAATTCAAATGGCCACTAGTGATGTGGCGCTACAATATTTGGCTATGTCTTGGCTACTTTAATATTATTTTTACGTGTTTTAGCTGGCAACACTGGATTGACCATGAAAGGGAGCCAGTATTTAAACGAGGCTTAATTTTCTAATTTTTAACGATACAATAGCAACGATTATTATTATTTTTTTAAATTTGATAGGCTTAACATGGAGGAAAATTCAACGCAAAGTAGGTTAATAGCGATATACTAATATATACTAATTACATGGGATATAATAATATACTACACTAGTAATGGATTTTTTCATACTTTTCGGTTATTCGACTTTTCAATTATCCGACCAACCCCAGTTCCCAATTGAGTCGGATAATCGATGCTCTACTGTATGTCTTAAGAATTTATTGAAATCTGCAACATTGTTATTTAAATAAAGATATTTATGCAATAGGTATACAAAAAGTAAACTACTCTCTCCAAATAAATTTAAAAATTAAATAAAAAAAATATGTACAAATTATATTGCAAGGCATATAGTGGCAAGTACACCACAGATATGCTACTATCTCAGGGATTGTGCTTTTTAATGCCAAAATTGCCACTTGGTGACATTTTTTTCACTTTGATCTTTTTTCAGTAGACTGAAGCATAAAAATTTTGACATGACAGAATCTGTGAAATATTGACTATGCATTTTGATCAAATGTGTTTCTAAGTGACAGCTCAACCTTTCACTTTTGCTTTCCAGACTCCAGATTGATAAAGGCTACCAGCACTTGCATTAATTAAATTGGTAAGTAAAACTGGTGGTGATAAATAATTTGAAGTGGCAAAAAAAATTTTAAATGGGCAAAATGGTTGGTGATTTTTAAAAATTTTTCAGAGACCCTCCCCGATATCTAATTTAAAATTTAGAAACAATTAAATGGTTAGAAGTGGGGAGGCAACTTGACACATAAGTGGTGACATCTATTTTGAATAAGAAATACTGAAGCACACTTCTGAACCATCTATGTATAAAATCTTAAAAAAGACTATCAACAGTTTGTTGAAATTTGCCACAAATAGGCCCACTGAAGGATTAATATATAAAAAAAAAAAATCATATTAAAATCTTAATTATAAGAAAAGAAAGGAAAAGCAAAATATTTTGGATTGAATAGCACTTGTAAGCATGGTTTATGCAGTAATAATATAATTACAAAATTGACAGGATTATTGTGATATCATCACAATTCCAAGCTGCAATTTTTAATTAATCATATTTTAATTTAAATATAATGTTTGTTGACACTAAATCTTGAAACTGTGATGATTTTAACACAGAAAAAGATCACATGAATATTGTATACCTTAGAGGGTTGAGTGATATGTTATTGATCTCAGTCTATATAAGGACCAATTCTATACCAACTATATTGCTCTAGAGCAGGGTAAAAGTTTTGAATGGAAATCACATGATTTCCAGACCAGAAGTTCATATATAGTTATTTGGGACCTCTGGCCCCTAAGCTTTCAATATCTAGTCTCAATTTTTACCTATCTAACTCCATTCATGATATTAATGAATAATAGATGAGTAAACAGAAAGACGACAGTGGAAATTTATGTCTGCAATTTTCAAATTGCAGCTCAATAAAACTAATGTAGACACCAAATATTTATATGGTAATAAAATTGTATGTATTTATACACATAAGATATTATATATATTTGAATAATTTGATTAACTTAAAATTAAATTTTACAATTTAATATAAAATATAATTAAGTCTTAAGAAATTAACTGAAAATGTAAAATATTTTTTTAAAGTAAGTAATCAAAGTTAAAAATCAATAAAAATTGGGATTAAACATTTTCTCCTGCTTTTTAAAAATTAAAAAGTGGTTGAATGAAATAATTGCTAAATACAATTATTATCAATGTTAATATGTTCTTTTGAAGTAAAACATTTTTCACACATTGATATTTTAAATTTAAAAGCAGAAAATATAAATATAATATATCAGTTTTATAGGATTTTTATGAGTTTGTTAATTTATTTTAAAGATATTTAAAATGTACTATTTTTAGTGTAAAATTGTTATTAATTAGTTAAAGACATTTACATATAAAAGCTACATATTTAAGACTTTTATATTAAAAATTTTTGATATATAGATTTTACAAGTAAATAATATTTTCTAGTTAATAAAAAATATAGAAAAATTTAAACATTTCTTTTAAATATGGTGTATCCATTAATTAATTGTACAGTTTAAGAGAGGAGGAGGGTTGCAAATCATAATTGTAAAAGTGCAAATCATAATTGTACATGATGGTAAGGGGATCAAGGAATTATCTATGTAAACTTTCTTAATGGTATCAAGGCATACAAATTTGTTCTTATAAGCCTATAATAAAAAAATATTAACAGAACTTGTTTGTCATTTGTTTAATGTTCAATGGGTTCATGAACTATTGTAGACATAATTAAAAGGGGTGGGTTTGCTGAAAATATATTATTGTACACAACAGGGAGAAAAGAGGGACAAAAATTTTTAAAAACTGTATATATAATTAATGGACAGCCCTATATGATGAGAACAAATAATTGTTAATATATATAAGTAAAATAATTATTACGTGATATCAGAAGGCAGACATAACTAAATAAAAAAAAAAATCTATTTTAGATGATAGTTAAATTTGATTGACTACAGTTAATCAAATCTCTTCAAAATAATCAGTTTACGTAACTCTGTATACATAAATGAAAATAATAGACAGAAGTAAAATATAAATTTTTAATTTGTGATGTTTTGCCATCCTTACATAATTATATAGATTGTATAGCATATATATGAAAGTTATTTTACAATGTAAGGCAGTCAGACATTAAACATATAGTTAGATAATTAATATATTTTAGTAACATTACTTTTTTTTTTAATTATTAACTTCAAAATTGTCATTTTTGATTAAACACTTTTCCTAATTATTATGATAAATTTTGTAATATAGAATGATTGAAATTCTCTACTTTTATTACTGTATCAATGCTTTACTGAACTACTATTTAACTTTAATATTTATTTTACATATTAGCTTAGTAAAATATTGATATAGTAATCTTTCAAATATGTGACTTTGAGCAGTGCTTTTCAAACATTTTTGAATCACTGTCCTTCTTAGTTCTGATTGTTAGTAGTAATGCCTCCTGTTCTGTGTACATAGGCCCTTGCCAGGGCTCATTTTTTTTTTTTTAGTCCACCAATATAAAGTGAAGCTAAATAACTGGATATGAATATTTGTCTGTCTCCAAAAACACCCTCTTCGATAATTCAAATGCCCCCCAGGGATGTTATCAGATGCTTTGAGAAGCACTGCTTTAGAGCAGTAGAATCTTTTATACTTATCTTGTTTCTTACATTTTTATTCATCTTCTGACAGTTTTTGAAGAATATTAAGACAATATTTTCATCTATTTATGTTGATAATTTTTATTTAAATTATTAACATAAATAGGTTGATTTAAAATAGTAAGCTAAGTTTTAGGAATAAATGAATAATTTCTTGTAACTAGAATCAAATTTGGATATAAATATCTGCAATGATGTCTTTGAAGCAGATTAAACCCAAACAAAAGTGCAAATTGCAAATAAAACAAAATATACATTTAAAATCAACTAATTAAAATTTAAAATAAAGATAGATAAATGTAGATAGATTAATAACAAACATTTTTAATATTATTATACAGAATAGGCATATCAACTATCAGAAAAAACTCTGAAGCAGATTGTTGGGAATTCATCACTGGGAGAAGTTGCTGTCATAAAAATTTTAAAATTT